AACAGGTGTATTCCTCTTTTAATATGTGTAAGAAAGAAAGGAACTTTACCCCACGCCAGGGGGTCCATGGGATGCTGCTTAGGAGAAGTTGAAAGTCAGGACTTAAATTTAAAAACACAGCCAAGCAGCACAGGGAGCTAAAGGGCCAGGCGACCTGCCGCCCAGGGAGCAGGCAAAGGGCCCCGGGAAAGTGAGCGCGGCTTGGGGAGCTCGGCCTTTGGTTAATGCGCGGGGCACGACCCCCTGGGCAGGTACCAAGCTGCGGCTGGATGAGAGGCGGTTGACTGTGCCGTCATTGTCATTGCAAGCACCTGGCAGCGCCTGGTGGACACCAGACAGCAGCGTGTGCCACCCCAGCCTCTCCTGAGACTCTGCTCTCTGCAGGTCGGTGGCTGGAGGCAGGTTGAGTCTTTCCGGGGCAGTGAAATTGCAGGGTCTGAATGACCTCCAGAACTCAGCTCCTCAGTCCAGCACTCCATTCAGCACTCGAAGCTGCAGGGCAGACCGGGCGCAGTGGCCCACGCCTGTGCCTTTGGGAGGCCGAGGCAGATGAGTCACTTGGTCAGGAGTTTGAGACCAGGCTGGCCAACATGGTGAAACCCCGTCTCTATTAAAAATACAAAAATTAGCTGGGCATGATGGTGAGCGCCTGTAGTCCCAGCTACTCGGGAGGCTGAGGCAGGAGAACCACTTGAACCTGGGAGGTGAAGGTTGCAGTGAGCCGAGACTGTGCCACTGCACTTCAGCCTGGGCAACAGAGCAAAACTCTGTCTCAAAAAACAAACAAACAAACAAACAAAAAAAAACTGCAGGGCAAAGACAGAGGTCTCTGTTTCCTGCCCTCAAGTGCTGGCTACGTCGTGGGAGAGACAAAGCCCTGGGAATTCCAGGTGGATCCCGGGTGGTTTCCTCCGGAGGGAAGCGGGACGCGATCCCCCTCACCCTTGCTCCCTGCCTTCCCTTGCTGCTTGGGAGCCTCTTAATCCCCTGGCTGCCGACAGAAGGCACCTAGAAAGTCACTAGGACAGCCTGGTGGGGATCAGCCTTACTGTAAGAACCGCCCTCTCCCAGCCCCCACGCACCTTGCACTGCCCTGCCTTGCCCATGTGAGTGGGACGATCCCTGGTACAACTGAGCAGGAGGGACACTGGCACCACCACCAGAGGCCCCAGGCTTTCTGGGACTCTCCCAGTTTGCTTCGATTTGGTTCTTTTCAACAAAGGCACTTCATTAATGTGAAGTGTTTTTATAAATAACAAATCACTTTCCGTCAGCCCCAATGCCCCGAGTTTTAGTTTGGGAGATGTGGCTACGGTGGGCAGGCATCAAACGTGCTCCCCTGTTTGGGCCACTGAGGGCTGCCTGATGTCTTTGAAGCTTTGGGCCACTGCTCATCTAAACAGCTAATTAAAATGAGGTTGAGTCACCGTGAGCCCAGTCCACACCGCTCAGAAGAAAGCTCATTTGTGCATAGTCACTGAGGGTGTCCTCTAATTGGCAGGGTTACGGCTTGTTTCCACCAGAGCGTGGACACAGAAATCACCTGGCGCTCTCCGTCCTGGCTCCTGGCATTGTCTGTGGCATCCCGGGAGCCATCAGGGTTGGCGGCGAGTTGGTGCAAACCTGCTCCCAGAAGGGGCAGGCTTATGTGTCTTGTGGGGCTGCTGGCCTCTGATCAACAGAGACCGAGGGTTGCTGCTCGGGGCACCGATCTTGGTCAGCCCCACCATCTGGGCACTGCGGTCTGTGCCTCGGGCTGGAGGCAGGTGGTTTGGAAATGGCTCTCGTTACCTGCTGGACAATGGGGCGTGCCCATGAGGGGATTTCTGGCCTCACAGACCCTCCCCCGAGTGCAGCAAGCCCCTCTTGTCCCTGGATGGGGACAGGAACTGAATGACTGGGGCACCTCCACTCTGGCAGCCTGAAGGAGGTGATGTGTTTGCCCTGAAACCTGGTCAGCAGGTGAGTGATAACCACATACACGGGTTAACCGCCTTCCTTCCGTCAGAAATGACACCCATGACTAAAAGGAACTAGGCAGAAATCAACACTAGGTCAAATATTTGAAGAAAGCTGATAAGTTTGTCCTTTGAAGGCCACAGGTCGTAGGTGGAGAAGGCTGAGCAGGGGCGGCATCCTCTGCCTGCTGGATGCCAGGGGAGGTCACCTCTGTCCATAACTCTTCAGCCATCTGCCAGGAATAGTCTAAAGCGAGCTGTACTAATATTGCCGTATTACCAAGGGGAAAGGTTGGCTTTTGGATTTTGAAAGAATATGGCTCTTAATTTGGTAGGTTTACAAAAGGGCTGTGTGATGGAAATCTAATACGAGCAGCTCAGGGGACACGCTGCAGCCACGTTAAGCATGAATTATGGATAAGGGATCGGGGTGAGATGACAGCAGCTTCCAGCGCTGGCCAAATACCCTCTTAGGGAACGAATTATTGCTAGACTTTAACAAAACAACGCTATTGTTTTCTGGGCCAAGGGACTGGAAAGTTCTTAATACACTTTGCTAATGGGAGACAGGTCATCTGTGGATCTGATCCTTGTCACAGGGCGGTTGAACCTGTCCTCACCTGCCTGCAGTTAACAAGGCTGAGGCTGAACTCTGCTGGAAACAGTGCCGTGTGACTTAAGTAGCTGATGGAGAGTTAAAAATACAAGTTGCCTTGGCAAGCCATTTGCAAACACCTGCCTTGCAGGCTGTCCTCCCACACAGCGACCTTGGGAAAGCCAGGAAGAGCTGAGTAGGGGGAGCCAGGGCAGAACCGCTACCCGGCGCACTGGTGTCGTCTCTGTCCTCTTGCAGAATTTGCACGTGGCAGTCAGCAGGGGCTAGGTGGTGGACCAGCCTGGTCCGAGGACTCACGACTCTGAGGACGACGTGGTGGCTGCTTGGCTCTCTAATCTGTTGACCAAGTCAGCGAGGGACTGGGCTCCAGTCTCACAGAGGAAGGGCCGGCACCCCAAGAGTGGCTGTGATGGGGTGGCAGTGGTGGAGGGGCCCGCTGAGGAGCTAGCTGCCATGTCTGTCTTAGATGACAAGGCAGCATTTGCCCTGGCATTGGGGGGCAAGGGAAGAAGAGACAGGGCAACAGCTCAGCTGCGGGGAAAGAAACAGCCCCCTGGTGCAGAGCAGTCAAACGGTTGCTTCTGGAAGCCCACGCTCGGCATCAGAAACCAAAAGTGGGCTGGGGACAACAAAGCTCCCACCAGAGCCCAGTGAGAGGGACTGTGCCATCGCACATTAGAGGCAGCCCTGGTCCAAGTCGCCGCAGGCCCCCGCAGCGGTAGCCAGGTAACCATCTGGCCTGGCCTCGTGGGTGATGCGGGCAGGCCTGTGTGGCTCGCAGCACCTTGGCCGGCTGGCCAGCGCTGTAAGCTCACTGCTGCCACAGCTGCTGCTCAGAGCAGAGGATCCGTCAGGCAGCGGGAGACCGCCCTGTGGGAGCCCCTGTGGTGGCCTGCCCAGAATAGCCGCCACCAGACCGTTGTCATGAGAAGGTTGGCCCCTCACTGGGGGAAGCCGTTTCTCTGCAACTGTAAGCAAAGTGGGTTTGTTGTGAGCAGCATTTGCCTCTAACGTGGGGTAGGAAGCGCTAGCCCCTGAAACGCGGGGCCTCCAGCTCTCAAGAGGTGGGATGGGAGTGAAGGACTTCATCTTGTGGGTGTCAGCTGTCCCTTTCAGAAAGGACCAAGCCCTTCTCCTGCGGAAATTCACTTTCCCTTTGGTCAGCTGAAACCCTAGCATTCAGCTGGGGCAGGGAGTTCTGCTTGGTAGGAGAAGGTGGTGCCGTCCCTGGAGTGTCTCTGAAATGTGAATTATTGCCTGGGCAACAGCAGCACTAGGGCGGCACAGGGCTTGGGTTACAGAACGCACTCTAGTGGCAGAGATGACATTCTCGGGGGGCTGCGGCCCCTTCCAGAATCTGATGAGAGGTAACCATGCTTTTTCCCAGAAAATGCCCTCATGCACCGTTTCACACACAGCAGGTCCTAGAATAACATTGTTTGATTCAATGTCATTTTGTTCTAACATTGAGAACTAAATTGATTCCTGGCTAGATCCACTGTCTGTGTGGAGTCTAGACGTCCTCCCCGTCTGTGCGAGTTTTCTGGGCACTTTGGTTTCCTCCCACACCCCAAAGATGTGCACATGAAGTTTGTTGGTGTCTGAATGGTTGCGGTCTGAGTGTGTGTGTGTGTCCAGTGGTGGGATGGTGTCCTGTCCAGGGTGGGTCCCTGCCTTGCACACTGAGCCGCTGGGAGAGGCTCTGGTCACCCACCACCTCGAACTAGAATAACTGAGTTGGAAAATGAGAGGAGGAGTGAATAAAAATGATTGTAAAATAAAAATTCAGGCTCGCATAATCATACACATGCACAGTAGTAAAAGGCCATCCAGAAGTGCCCAGTGAGCCAGTTCGTTTCAGTGTGTGATCTGTGTGGTGGAAGGAGGTGCTCCCGACAATTTCTGCTTTGCAAACATTTCGTGATTTAACCCACCAGGACTGCAACTGCCAGCACCCACTGAGTCACCAAAAACTGGGTAATTACCTTGTTGTTGTTAGTAATTTTTCTTAAACGTATGTATAATTCACATTTATTGAATGTTTAATATTGTAAGTGTTTGATTTAAAGTTCTAAAGTTTGGTGATGTTTTTATGGCAAGAAATAGGCCATGGGAACTTAACTTGTTTACATTAATTAGCCTACAGTAAAATTAGTTTCATTACACATCATTATGCTTAAAGTTGCCATTTCTTTTTTTGAGGCAAAGTCTTGCTGTGTCGCCCAGGCTGGAGTGCAATGGTGCGATCTCGGCTCACTGCAACCTTCGCCTTTCCGGTGCAAGTGATTCTCCTGCCTCAGCCTCCCAAGGAGCTGTGATTACAGGTGCATGCTACCAGGCCTGGCTAATTTTTGTATTTTTAGTAGTGACAGGATTTCCACCATGTTGGCCAGGCTGGTCTTGAATTCCTGACCTCAGGTGATCCGCCTACCTTGGCCTCCCAAAGTGCTGGGATTACAGGCATGAGCCACTGCACCCAGCCAAAATTGGTTTGATTATACATCATTTTGCTTAGTTGCAGTTTCTAAGAATACCTATTAAAGACAGTTGGTGAGGACTTACTGTATAATGCTGCGGGTTTCTTGGATATTGGGCTGTAGTGGAGGTTCTGGGAAAAACCACTTGCCTGAGGGTTTACAAAACAAAGCCATGGTGGGAGGTAAGATTTCAAGGGGGTGGGAAGAGAGCTGGAACTGTGGCATGCCAGGGTTATCACTGTATGCCTTGCCCGAGTGCTAAAATAACTTCACAATAAACACTTTCAAAGCATTTACTATCAGAACAATACGGACATAATGAAGTAGAAAGCAAGTCCGACAGTGTTTTGAGATGAGACATGAGACCTTCGGTGTTTCTCTGCCCAGCTCCCCCGGGCATGCTTGAGTGTCTTCTACCTTTAGGGGAGCCACAGATGGAGGAGTCTTTGAGGGGACTAAAGGAGAGGATTCATCCCTAAAAACTCAGAACTTGTGAAAGGGTCTGGATAAAGGTAAGGTGGCTTAATTTGGATAAATGTTGGCTTATCAAAGAGCCTTTATCCTTTCCCTGTCAGTGTGATTTATTCCAGGACATTCAGGTTTGAAGCAGAAAACGCTTGCCTGAAGTTGGCGTGCTTGAAGATTGCAGTTTGGGTCCAGTCAATCTTTACAAGACCCAGGCAACTTTCATGAACAGCAGGTACGTTACGAACAGGCTTTGGCGTGGGAGGGGCTGCAGTTGTGACATTTTTATGCTGGACCAGCTGCTGGCTGGCTGAATTCTGGGTCTAATGTCTTTTAAAGTTTGTTATCTCTAATTGCTGCAAAGTTAGGAAGGGAGAATGTACCTGCAAAATGAACTGTGAATGCAGACTGGATGGGGCTGCTTTTTGAAAAGAAAAACATTTTCCCCAGTGGTCCAGATGCATTAAGACTATGAGAGAAAGGGCGGGGCTCGAAGAGCAGCTTATGGAGCGAGGTCACCAGTGAGCAGTCTGACCACATGACGACAACAAAAGTAAGCAAAATCCTGCATTTGCTACCTACAGGCTGTCTCCATTTAGGAAGCCATCTGGTTGAAAGGAAGCAGAAAACCCTCTGGTCCATCTGCCTGGCAGGAAGGCAGGGGCTGAAAGAAAGCAGCGCTCTCTGGACAGGGAGGTGATGCTTCCCGGTTGCAGCTCTGTCTGCCCCGTTCCCCTGTGTATTTGGAGATGAATGTGGAATGGCTATCTTAAGCACTCTGATCCAGAACCTTCATGACTTGAAAGTTCTAGGTTTTTGAGTAATGGCAAGCACTTCCCTCTGATACATACACATGTGCAGCTGAGGACTTTTCTGCTGGGATGAGTGGGATGAGTGTGGGCGAACGATTCCCACATGAAAGGTGCTTCTCCTACCTCCTCATCACTTCCTTTTCTCTTCCGCATAGCCCCTTGTACCTTTTTGTTTTATCCAGAGTTTTTGTTTTTTTTTTTAAACACTGCTTTTGGGCCAGGTGTGGTGGCTCACATCTGTAATCCCAGCACTTTGGGAGGCCAAGGCAGGCGGATCATGAGGTCAGGAGCTTGAGACCAGTCTGGCCAACGTGGCAAAACCCTGTCTCTACTAAAAATACAGAAATTAGCTGGGCGTGGTGGCGGGCGGCTGTAATCCCTACTTGGGAGGCTGAGGTTGCAGTGGGCCAAGATCAGGCCATTGTACTCCAGCCTGGGTGACAGAGCAGTACTCCACCTACAGAAACCACCCCCACGGAAACCTGCTTTTGGCTTTCCGTTAGCTATCGGTTTTCTCTTCCATTGGTGTCTGTTTTTGTCCTGAATTAAGCTCTTCCCTCTGCTTGCTTTGGGGCTGCTGCCGCCTTAAGCCGAGGTGACAGCTCCTCTCAGTCTCATGAGCCCTGGGTTTTATATTTGGCGCTTTTACTGTCAACCCAGTCTAGTGAGTTTATATTTTGTTTGTTTTTAGTAACCTTTTGAAGTCCAAGTTAACTCGGGAGTGTCTATTTTGCTTTTTGTTGATTCCTTGTGATCCTGCATTGGGGTCACTTTCTAGAAAAGCAGGGCCCTGCCTGAGGGTATAGCCCACAGGGTGCAATGCGTCACAGTGGGGGGCGATTCTATAATGTGGCCTTAATGGTGTAAATCTTTGCACATCTGAGACGTTCTCCGTGGCCTTCATACGTGCTGGTCTTTTGTGCGTGGTCTACGTGTGTCTGAAATTCTCTACACACCTACTGGATCCAGCTTGTTAGGGATATTAAGTAAATCCTCCAGATCTTTTAAGTTTTTCTCACTGAGTTGGTCTGCTGATCGCCTGCTGTGAGAATGGATTTTACTTCTCTTTGTAGTTCTATCAGTTTTTGCTTTGACATTCTGAAGGTATAGTAGGTGGATGCCATTGTGTTTAGAAGTGTTGAAAATCAACAGTAAGGCAATGGCTTGCTTCTAGAATGCTTTGGAAACGGCGGCTCTGTTTTCTCATGTGCTGTTTCATCTTGATGGCTGCTTAGTCAATATTTAGAAAATATTTACTTTATATCACATATGATAGACACAATAGTTAGCAAAAAGAGTTATTAATGACTAAACTGTGTAAGTATATAATTATAAACCCTGGTAAAGCTATGAGGAGAAGGTACGGCCCCACCAGCTTGATGCTGGGAGGTGGTGGCGGCGAGGTCGCAGCGGAGCACCCTAAGTAAATACAGGGAAACGGACGTGGAGATACTGCCTTGGAGGCCAGGGACAGGCCCATGCAAAGGCCCTCAGAGGAAAAGGGGAAAGAAGCCGAGCAGGGGCTGTGTGGGACCCCGGCGAGAGGCCCAGGGCGGCCAGGGATCCAAGGCCAGGGTGGCTGGATGGCTGCGGGTGCCACAGCTGGGCTACGTTTGAGTCGAGTCGGCAGCATGTGGGACTTGAGCCCCAGCAAATGGCAGCTTTCCCAGGTGCTGGGGGCAATCGGGTAGGGACAGGGGAGACTCGTGTGTCAGGCGCGTGCCTAGGGCTGCTTTCTGCCCCTGTGCGGAGCTGCCTGTGGTTTTAAGATGGGTAAAACTGGTTCTTCCCATTTTTCTCCTTGCTCCCAGCTGAGGCACTTCTCTAAACATGGTTATAGGGAAAAGCCAGTGCAAGGTCGTAGTAGTGAGTGGCCATGGTGTCGCAGGAGGAACGGCAGGCAGGGAGCGGGCTCTGGAAGGCCAGCTGGTCTACCGCAAACTCATAGGCACGGATCAGCCCCCGGTGTCTAGAGAGAGCACAAAGAGAACGACAGGTCAGGGCTGCCTCGCTGGCCCTCGCCCTGGCCGCATTCGCCTGAGACCACACAGAGGTTCATCTTCACAAAGGTGTCCTCTGGCACACAGTGTCCGTCACTCACAGTCCCGGGCTTAGTGGTCAGCAGGTGGGCGCAGCGAGTGTCACAGGGCGAGGCGCTGAAGCAAGGAGGCCAGGCCACGTCTAATGACAGAGGCATCTGCGCCTACCTGCAAGGGGGCTGGGCGGGGGGCGTCTCTTGCTTGGCAGCCAAGTCACGCAGCAGACTGAGTGCGAGGACTCGATTCGAGGACGGGATCTCACCCCCATGACCGGATTCTAAGCACAGCAGCCCCCTCAGCATATGGCTTCCTCCCTCTCTATGCGGCCGGCAGAGTGGACCCGCCCCACAGGGCTGTCCCGCTTCAGACGCTGGGAGCTCAGTACAGGTCAGCATCCACGTTTATGTTCCCACTTCCTAGAAATGCAGGGCCCTGCCTAACGGCATGGCCCATAGGATGCAGTGTGTTGCAGGGTTGGGGAGGGGGATTCTATACATCAATCAAACTAAGATGGTCTCTTCTGAACACGGGCAGATCCAGCCCTGCCCACTGCTCACCTGTGAGGAGTGAAGTTGTCCCGATCGGCGTTCCGCACCACCGGCTGGCAGGGCACATTGGCCGTGATGAGGCTGCGACTGCTGAATGAGACGTGCTTTACGGGGTGTCTAGAAGGCAGCGGGAGAGAGCTCAGAAGGCCGCGTCCATGGGGCCTGCGTACGCCTGCCCTTGCTGCTGCGGACCAGGGGCTTCAGAGCTGCAGGGATTCTAGAACCCACGAAGCTAAGCTTCTCTTTTACACAGGAGGGAGCAGTGTCTCACCTCAGTTCCCAAAGCTCAGGTGACAAGGCCACACTCTGGGCACGACTCTGTAAAACGGTCTACGTGCCCCGAACCCATGCTGGCGTCTACCCCAGCAACCTGGTACTCTCCGGATACATCCTACTGGAGACAGATCGGCCACATGCAACAGACAGGTCCCTCGCTGCCTCCCTGGGCAAGTCCCTTGAGCTCTCCCAGCCAGGCGCCCCATCATCTAGAGGGCACTGGGGGCATGTTAAGTGTCAGTCCATTAAAGGCGCCTCCACCCTGCTTACAGGGCTGCAGTGATGCATGTACCCTGGGTGGTGAAAGCACGTTCGGGAAATCTTGGAACAAAATGGTTCTATGTTTGTTGAACAGAGGCTTGTGTTGGTTCTGAACCTTTCGTGGAGTCCCTGCCGTGGCCAAGGCACTGAGCCAGGAGACGCTGGATTAAAAAGATGTCTTATCCAGGTGGATGTCTGCCCCAGGGAGGGCCCTAGCTAGTGAAGAAGGTAAGATGCAGTACCAGAAAATGTGACCAATGCTTCTGAAGCACGAGGGACCTTACAAGCTACAAAGAATGTGTGACCCAGAATGAAGCGCTGGGAGGCACAGCAGGCTGAAAGGGTCTGCCAGGAGGGGGCGCAGGAGGCACAACGCCTGTGTGGCTGATCCCAGGATGGCTGGGGCTGCACCCCTTGACTAACGCACAGGACTCTTGGGAGGGAAGCTGGGGAGCAGTTGGAGCCCTGCCTCCCTGGGGTGGGGACACACACAGGAGGAGAGTGGTGGCAGACTTGGCATGGGGCCTGGAGGATGAGACAGCCCCACAGAGGGAGGGAGGGCAGGCTTGGTGGAGGCCTGCAGCCTGGCAGATGCATGGTGCCCTGTCAGGCAGGCGAGGACCAAAGGGAGAACCCTGAGAGGACCTGGGCTGGAGGGACTGAAGTAGACAGCGGGAGGGCCATGACAGCAGCCAAAGGACAGCCAGCCCGGGGCTATAAGTGAATAGGGCCTGGCAGCAGGTGAGGACTTGAGCAAGTCAGAGAGGTCTGGGCAGGAGACTGTGTCTGTGAGCCTTGTGTTGTCTAGAAACAGTGAGGGACAGAGGCCGTGCTGGGACAGGACCACACCCTGGGGAAGGCCGTCCTTACACAGGCTTCATCTCAGTGGCCTGTTCCAGGGAATGAAGCTTTGCAGAGAGAAAAATGAGAGCTGTTGGAGTTGGGGCTGGCGACATCCCTGAGGACCTGGATCGCAGATCCAGTCATTGCTTTACAACAAATACTAGGTTTTCCTCCAGGGCAAATGCTTCCCGGAATTCTGTTGCGGGAGTTTTAGTTGCTGTTTGGTGCCACCTGGTGGCAATCTAGTGCATCACCATGGAACTAGAAAAAGGGCTGAGGCCTCTGGGACAGGACAGCCACAGCAAGGGGCAGGCTGGGCAGGACCTGGACTCTGATAAAATCTGCCGGCCACACTGTTCGCCAGCACCGCCCTCCAAGGAAGAAGCCCATTCTGCATTTACCCCTGCCGCCTCGTGGAGACTTCTGTCAAATTGCTGCCGTTGCACTTGAAGGAAGACTATGCTGCTTCTCCGCGGTTGCGTTTATCTGGATTTGCAGGAAGCGGGGAGCACGTCTCAGTTCATGTGCGAGGGCCTCGCCCTGTTTCTGCTCATCTGTGTTGTCATGCTCATAGCCTACTGGCCCAGAATCTTCTATTTTAGAGAGATGGGGTTTCATTCTGTTCCCCAGGCTGGAGTACAGTGGCACAATCACTGCAGCCTCAAACTCCTGGGCTCCATGAAGCAATCCTCCCCCATCAGCCTCCTGAGTTGCTGGGACCATAGGTACATGCCAACATGCCTGGCAGAATGTCTTCACAGCGGCACTGAGGGGCAGTGAGGGAGAGGACCAGTTGCCTCTGTCCCTACCTGTCTCAAAAGCAGTGTCTCCTATTCGAGGCCTGAGGGGCCAGGTAGAGGTGGTGGCCTCCAGCCTGCCCCAGGCTGCTGCTTTAAACTTAAGGGGCAGGCTCAATGAAAATGTCTTAACCAGTCAGGCGCCATTGGCTGAAACCTACATCTGTAAAGCCAGCCTGTGCTGAGGATAGTATCTATTTATATCTCGAATAGTGGTGTTAAAGGTGGATGATGACAAATTTCTCCTTTGTTGGAGCCTGAACCCCTTCGGTCCTAAATGGTCTTCTATCTAAACATCATGAGCGAAGTCTATGCACGGGGCAGAAGACCGTGATTACCCGTGATGGGCTCGAGTGGAGGACGGCGGGCTGGGACAGCCCTGCTTTCCGCCTGTGAGCAGGTGGGGTGTCACCTCTTCTGCTTATTGAGATGAAGGAATCCTAAATAGTACTTTCATTCTTAGAGAAAGCTGGGTCTGAACTGTGGCGATCCGAATGATGTCACAGTGAGGGTTCACCCAGTGAAGCCCAGGGGTAGGGGGCATTTAGCACTGTGCCTGGTGCAGGCTGACTACGGCTGCCTTCCCTCTTCCTACTAGAAACTCCCAAGAGTGTCTAGAATGCATCTTACCCAGAATACACCTCCCACAGCTTCTGGTTCATCCGATAATCCCACACGGACACCAGGCCTTCCTCGCCTCCGCTGACGATCTTCCAGTCATCCATCTGCACAGTAGAGACCCCAAGCTGGTGGGCAGAGAGTGACAGCGCGATGTTACTGGTGCGGAGGTCGTGGATCCTCACCCTGGACAGGCCCAAGAAAAGCACAGAAGGGAAATGGGGTTAGCGTCAAAGCTTGAAATGACAAACTCCCCCTCCGCTGTGCTGGTCTGTGCACAACACTGCTATGAAAGAACTCAGCTGCAAACATCAATAATAATATCAGACTTTTATCTCCTAATTAGTACAGGGTCAGGGAGGACCTACAACCGTCTAATCAGAACGGTTTAAAAGCATATAGAGCAAGAAAGACGCAGCCCAAGGACAGTGGCTGTCCACTTGATCTGCTTAACAGGGAAGGGGCACCTGCGTCACTCAGGAGGAGGCTGAGATCTGCCTGGCTCTGTGGCTGCACAAGCGGGTTGGCCTGAGAAACCTGTCCCAGCAGTAGCTGTGCTGCCCGACACAGTAGTTTTGCTGTGGGTAAAACCACCTGTTAAGGGCAAGAGCTACACAGCCAGACACCTGGATCCTCACCCGTTAGGAAAATCCACTCGACTTTGTGAGTTCAGCACTGTCTTGTTGGAGCTGAGGAAGGGAACGCCTTTATACCTGACTACACACAGCAGAGCAGGGTTAAGGGGGTGTGCACTCTGTGCAGTCACTTCTTGAAATAATTACTTGCCTTATAATAATCCGCATTTCTTCAAGAACCTCTTTAAAAACTACTTTTTATATACGGTGAATGTTTCACATGAGGATAAATTAAGGTAATGGGATAGAAATCTCTTATCTACTACAACCACCACCATACTTAACTCCCACAGTAAGCCACAAAGGCTAAAAGTAAATCCAATTCATTACATGTAATAACTGTAAAGAAGCGTTTAAGAGACCCCATGATGCAAGTGGAAAAAGACAGTTCCTGCCCTGAAAAGACCCTACCATCCCTCTGGGAACAGGACAAACACAATGATATATGATTCAATGTGATCATAAATGCATGTCTGACTCAAAAGATGTGAAACATGTCCTGTGCCCTGAGTCACGCGCGCGCGCGCGCGCGCACACACACGCGCGCGCACACACACACACACACACTGATTTTCCAAGTTCTGAGGGAAAATTATTTTGAACCAAAAATTCTAAACCTAGCTTAGCTACCAAGTTGGAAGGCATAATAAAGACCTTTTTTTTTCTTTAACAGAAAAGGACTCGCAGTGAACTTCCTGGGGATACTCTAAAAGAAAGTGGCATGGCAGTATACCAGAACAAGAAGACAGATGGCTTAAGTGGGACCTCATGTGTCTGCTGGGTCCACGGAGGCACACAGGGCAAACCTACCTAGTAAGAGGAGCTGCCGATGGATCACAAAGTAAAAATACATGCTACGCGTGAAAAACACATTTGCACACAAGGAGGAAAAGACGTTACAATTGTAATACTAGAAAAGGCAGATTTCAAGGCAAAAAGCATGAGCTGAGAGCACTTTATGACAGTGAAGGGGGCAGTTTACTCAATGTTTTGGTCAGACTAACCTGGAAAAAACAAAACTCCAGGGATCAAATTTCTTTTGTACAGGTTTTGTTTTTTACTATTATTTTTAAAGACAGGGTCTCACTCCCGTCTGGAAAGCAGTGCACCATCGCTCACTGCAGCCTCAAATTCCTAGCCTCGGGATCGTCTAACCTCCCAAAGCATGTGCCACATGACTGGCTACTTTTTTTATTTTTTTTAAAGTAGAGACGGTTTTGTCATGTTGCCAGGCTGGTCTCGAACTCCTGGGCTCAAAGAATCCACCAGCCTCAGCCTCCTAAAGTGCTGGGATTACAGGCATGTGCCACTGCACCCAGCCTGTTTTTGTCTTTGTAATTGTTTCTTTAGTCACCATAATCTTTTCAGGTTTTCTGTTTCTTGAATTAATTTTAAAAAATCTCCAAATCTGAAAACTTAGATGAATAAACGGCTTTCTGGGAAAATAAATAAGAATTATCAAAACGAATCCCCAGGGGACAGAAAATCCAAGTAGATAAAATAACAAATAGACTGAGGAAGCCAGCAAGGGGCAACAGTCCCTGCAAAGAAGGAACAAGTGACTGGCCAGACCTGTGAGGACCAGCCACCTCCAGGGCTAAGGCAGCTGTTCCACAGCCTAGGAAAGGCAGGAGGTAAAGCTTCCAAATTCTCCACAAAGCCAGCTTTCTGTTGCCAAAGCCTAACCCTGAGAGCACAATCAAAGAGAACTACATATCTGCATGAAATCTCAACAACAGACTCCAAGAAAACTACTTACCCGAATGCAATCTCAGTAACAGACTCCACAGCGAGACGCCGCAGATAAGTAGAATCTACGAAAAACCGCCGGTCATGTCCATGGATGCCGAAAGCAACGGGATGAAACATCACACCGTTCCTGATGCTGTCTTTAGAAACAGTGGGCCACTTTCACCACCATTAATTTACACTGGTTTTTAAAAACCAGGTACAATTAGACAAAAGGAAAAAATGAAAGTATAAAAATCAGAAAGAAGTGAGTAGACTTCTCAGTGAGAAGGGACAGTCCCAGAGAATTCAGTAATACACAGTCAAATATAAATTTATGTGCCAAAATCTAGTTTAAAAAATAGAATAAAAAATGACCCCCTTGTAACAGCAGTTAGAGGCAAAATACTCTGTAATAATTTTCTCAACTTGGAGCTCTGCTACTTATATTACACAAAATAAATTACAGAGGGCACAAAGAGTTACACATAATTATACTATAAAAAAGATTCCGAGGAGGGAAGGCCTTTCTAAACAAAACCAAGTCCATAAGGTGAAAAGATTGATAACTACACATAAAAGGGTTTGACTTTTTCCTATGAAGGGGAACAATCAGAAAGTCAAATGACAAACTGAGGAAAATGTTTGCCACAAAGAGGCTAATGTGTTATAATAAATAAATGCCTTCAAATAAATAGTAAAGACTGACAAACCCATTATTAAATTGAGAGAAAAGAAAAAGCAATTCACAGAAAAATATTGATGGCTTTTAAACATGTGTAAGATGTTTAAGTTTACTGGTAATAAGAGAAATTACACAGTAAAACTACAATGCAGTGCCACCTGTCGCCTATCTACCCAGCAAAAGTAAAGTTTGGTAACATGCCCTCCAAGGCGCTGTGTGGCAGCAAGACATGGACAGGTACTCCTAGACAGCTGAGGCGAGCAGAAATCCTTCTTTAGGGAGTGACTTGGCAATATCCAACCAAATACCCCACGCCCCTCACCAAGCCAGCAATTCCACTTCTAGGAGGCAGCTCTACATGTTTCACAGACACAAGGCCAGTCACCAAAGCACTGCTCTTAGTCGCAAAAGAGGCTTCTGTTTCAGACATGTTGACGCTTCCACTGCAAAACGCTTACTAGTGCTGGATAAATATAACTAACAAACTTTTAAGGGCATTGCTGAATTCACATAGTAAGTGACTTCCCCCGGACCTGAGCTGAAAACCAGATGGGAGAGGGTGAGCTGCAACTTCAGTTGCCAGCGTGGTGGGGGAGGCTGCTGGCAAGCGCCAGGCTCAGGTCCGTGGGTTCATCAAACACACTGAAGGGCCACCCAAGGCAGGGAGGGGAGTGTGGAGATTCCTGCTTTAAATACAAAAGCATGAAAGTATAGTCCCTGAAATTAAGTTCGGGAGACTGGCTGGAAGCAGATCAGAGAGTGTGTGAATTAGAAGAAAAATCTGAGGAATGGGGGGTTAAGAGACATGAGGGACACAGTGGTGGTGCAGCATGCACCCACAGTCCTGGAAGGAGAAAACAGTGCAGATAGTTAAGAGCTCATGTCTTCCCAGAACTAAAGAAAGACATGCATGCCGACTCAATGCACACTAATCAATAAAGGAAAAGAAATACATACCTAAGAGTGTAACTTAAAAAATGGGAAAACACAGACAAAGAGGTCTTAAAAACAGCCTGAGAGAAAAAGACATGACCTATTAAGGAAAAATAATTATACTGACAGGAAAAACTAGAAACAACACTTAAGCCGTCATGAATGGGAATGACTGGATGTAGGTGGCAGGATTACCTAGCTCATCCACTGAGTGCTGGTTAAAGCAATCACGGTACATCCACACAGTGGGACCCGGCGTAGTCATTAGAGAATGGGCAGAACCACACAGGCCGACTGGCAGCCGTGTACACAGGCATGTGCCGGGGGACATGTTCAGGCTGTGAGTGTGTGGGCGCGCCCTGCAGAACGCGCAGCATTGAGCAGTCGCAATCAGGGAGGCTGACGAGGCCTCTTGGGAACAGGGACCCACCTCACCCTCTATGCTACCTTGCTTTTCAGTCCCATTATGAATGTGCATACTTCCTGTTTAAATAAAACCGAACAATTTTAAAGACAAAGTTCTGGAAGCACATAACTTGAACATTAACAGCAATTACCTTGGAGAAGAATGAGGGTAATAAAGGAGGCTTTTGTGTTTTATTCTGGACACTGCCATGTTTAAAAAACAAGAATTCATCCGTGACGGGGAGGCCTTCAGCGGTACTGGTCTCCCTCTGTTTCCTGAGCTGAGAGGTGGAGGTGTGGGCATTCTCTGTTGTTCTTGAAACTGTACACATACCTTCTAGATGCTCCCATACATCTGTTCTGTTTCATAATTTAAAAACAATACTTTCATCTATTTCTTAGATAAGGTGAAATAAAATAGGATGGTAACAGCACATCGTTTGAGAACACGGAGGAGGGACTGTTTCTTCTTCCTGCTAGGCCATGTGAGCTGACAAGGCAGCGCAGGAGAACAGAGAGGTCCGTTGCTACAAATGCTGTTCAGTCCCGGATCTGCCAGTGAGGGATCTGGGACCAGAAAGACGCAGAGAGCATGAAGACTACTCTGAAAACCAAGGCATCTCTCGGGAGCACTTACAGACACCTCTCCTTAGGCACGTGTAGGTAAGAGAACTCGGGCTGTGTGGGCAGAGAAGAGAGAAGAATAAATGCTGGAAAGGGAACTCTGACTTTAGGCCAGAATGGGAACTTGAAAAGGACTGGGGAAGGGGGAGCGGAAATGTTTACCAAGTAGTTTTCAGTGCATATTTGGTTAATCAGAGTCTATTCTGCTATAGTGATTTCCATAAAGAGCCCCTCTGTTGAATATTTATACTCCATAATTTACAGTTTGGCTGTTAAGGAGACAAAGGCAAACACAAATTTGGTCCAGAAGTTCAAAGTTTGCCATCTGTTTTCCTATTGTATTTAGATACCAGTATGGATGGCTCCAAACAAAATAAACAAATAAACCAAAAGATACAGCCTTAGTGTCTTTTACATCACTAAGGAAAAAAAAATAGGCCAAACCAGCTTTAATGTCTCCCCATAAGAAAAAAGGAAAACCATTTTTCTGACATCTCCTTAGAGAAGCACCGCTCTGGCTTCTTGTCAACAGACAGAAACAGCAGACAGCACAGCATGCCAAGTCCACCCAAGCCATTCAGATTCACATGAAGAAACAGGTACCTGCCTCGGACATCTGATAGCACGCAGCACCGGCCCGAACGCCGTGCACCTTGGCAAAGCCCATCGTCGGCTCAGCCCTTGAACCAAATACTCGATGCTGGGAAACAGGTAGCACAGCAAATGGCACCAAAACATGCCAAGACAGCCGATTCCAGGGACAAAGAGGAGCCAACGGTAGATATTGTGAATCCCTATCTAGTGAGTATTTCATCAACTTTGCCCATTGAAAAGAAAAATAATTGGTCTGAAAGCTGTAATTGTATTATGTTTAATATTCATGGTTGGGCTTGGAGGACGGTTCCAACACTCCCTCTCTCCAGCCCCTCTCTAATGAAAATCACACCATAGGAGTCGGCTGTAGCCCACCAATTAAAACAAAAGACACCAGAACCTTCCAAAGACTCCAACAGAGGAGCATCCATCTGATGGGCAGGAAAACGTGCTGGAAGTGAGAGGGAGGCACGCTCTGGTTGGTCCTGTGTTAAGAGCTTTGAATAACTTATTATAACACTTGCAGATGGAGCAAATGCAACATTTACACCCCAATCACTCTCTCTCTAACAGCAGGCAGCAGTGGCACGAGCACAGCACACAACTTTATACTTGTCAGGGCAAGAAGCAAGCGCTGAGACTCTGTAATTGGGGGGTCACAACTCAGGGCGCGCTTCCTATTGGCTTGGATTAAATACTCCCATATGATAATGAGGCACACTGTATCTGACGGCAAGCTGAAGCCTATTCAGTGTCTGGCTCGGCAGTTTCATTAAGGAGGACCTGACCTTCAGCTATATTTCTATCCAGAAAATAAAGGGAACAAGCAATAAGGTGTTACAATGGAGGCTTTTTTTTTTTTTGAACGAATTAATTTTTAAAATAGTATTTTTTTAAAAAATAAATCAATACATGATTCTGTTTGGTCTCACTGAACCTTGGGCTATTAAAGAGGATTTTAAATATAACCTTATATGCCAAAATCAATAGCTTTATCTACAAAGCACTGACGATGGCCTTCGGTGAAAGATTCATTTTAAACAGCAACTAGAAAAACACGTATTTTCAGGTAGAAGTGGAAATACATGTTTTGCTAGTTGCTGTTCAATCCAACTAGGCTAGTTTAATCCAACTAGGCTAGGCTTAGTGCTTTCTGTATTTTAAGTCTGTACCTCTGAAGTTTAGAGTTCTCTGTAAGTAGAACATAAAATTCTATATGGCCAAGAGTAACAAGCCCTTCAGACTGGTCACTGAACCTTTCTGGTCCAGCATTAGATGGTCTTGAAGAGATCTGCTAGACCCAACATTCTGAGATCCATAACAAGTCCACCCAGTGAACAAAGATGATAACGTGTATACGGCCAAAAAAGGGGCACTGGATCCCAAGTTGGAAATACTAAAACTTCTAGTTATTAACTAAGTCATATGAATATGTCCTATATCCATATTGCTACTTTCATAGACAGTGATGCTGTTGGACATGCCTGACATTTGGAAGTTTACTGTATATTACTTATTTTAAAAAAGGTGAGGTATTGTAATCAAAAAGCTGTAGGTAATCCAGGCAGTGTGGCAGTGCCAGAACACAGACATACAGATCAATGGAATAGAACTGAGAGTCCAGAATAAACCCTCAAAGTTACAGCCCACTGATTTTCAACAGTGGTGCCAAGACAACTGAATGGGGCGAGAATTGTCTTTTCAACAGATGGTGCCAGGATAGCTGAATATTCACATGCAAAAGAATGAAGTTTAGGTCTCTACCTCACACCATATATAAAAATTAACTCCAAATGGATCACAGACGTCAGCGTAAGAGCCAAAACTATAAAACCCTCTGAAGAAAACTTAGGAGTTAATCTTCATGAGCCTGGGTTAAGAAATGGTTCCTTAGCTATGACATCAACAGCACAAATGACAAAAGGAAAAAATAGATAAATGGAATGTCATCAAAATTGAAAACTTGTGTGCTTCAAAGAATACGATCTAGAAAGTGAAAAGACAACCCACAGAATGGGAGAAAATATTTTGCAAATCACATATCTGATGAGAGATTTGTACATGGGCTATATAAACAACTCTAATAAGCACGTGAAAAGATATTCACCACCACTGGCCGTCAGAGAAATGCAAATCTAGAATTCAAGACAGTAGCAAGGGTTGGTGACAAGGTAGAGAAACTGGAACCCTCAATCCAGGGCTGGTGGGAATGTAAAATGGTACAGCCACTATAGAAGAGTCTGGCAATTCCTCAAATGGTTCAACACAGAATTACCACAAAAGCCAGCAATTCTACTCCCAGTGTATTTCCCCAGTGGAACTGAAAATATGCATCCACATACAAACGTACACATAAATGATAACAGTAACATTATCATAGTCAAAAAGTGGAAGCAACCCAAATGTCCATTAACTGATGAATGGATAAAGAAAACGCAGTATATCTGTACAAGGGAATATTACTTGGCCAGAAAAAGGAATGACCTACTGATATATTCTACAAATTGGGTTTATCTTAAAAACATGCTAAGTGGAATAAGCCAGTCCTAGAAGGTCACAAGGTACATCATTCTATTTATAGGAGATGCTCAGGCAAATGCTTAGAGAAATAAAGTAGATTAGTGGTTGCTTAAAGCTGGAGGGATGAGGAAAATGGGGAGTGCCGTTAATGGGTATGGGGTTTCTATTTGGGGTGATGAAAATGTTCTAAAATGGACTGTAGTGGTGACTGCACAACCTCGTGGACCTACTAAAAACACGAAATTGTACGATTTAAATTGGTGAATTATGTGGCATGTAAATTAAATCTCATTATAGCTCCTAAAAAATAAACTTGAGACTATGGGGGAAAACACTGGAATTTGCTGGCTCAATGACTGTTGCCTTAGCAACCCAATTACAGCCTGGCATTTGCCCTTAGCACCAACTCTTGGTTCTCCACAGCATGGATTAGCTTCTCCCTGCTAGATCCCCAGTTTCACTGGCGAAAATGAGCAGATCACAGATGAGAAGGCTGAGAGCTACAGAATGGGAAGGGCCCTCATTTAATACAGCCCTCAACCACCGGCTACAGTGCTGACTTAAGTCACTGAAAAGAAAGGAGGGCGTTCTGATTCTGGCCAGGTTGGAATAAGCCCACTACTGCCTCTCTCCTGCTGACTGCCAGCAAAACTTATGGACAAAACACAAATACAAACGCCTGAGGACTCTGGAGAGTCAACCCAAGCTGATGGATTGCAGAGGAGAGTCAAACCTATGGAAGTGGCCATATGGGGAGGAGTTTCCCATTTTTTCCCTTTTCCTCTTGCAGCCTTGCCCTGAGTATGGGCTACAATATGCAGCACTGTGAGGTGGTACAGGACGCCAAAACTCCAATAGAAACTCCAGCCTTCTGACCAGAGGAACAGAGGGGGGCCCTGCAGTCCCCAAAGAATAGGGATGAGGGTTGTTGTGGGTTTTTTCCTCTTTCTTGTGGCTGTGTCCCAAGGACAGTTCCTAGTCACATGCTGCATGGTGGCAGCAATGCAGGTAGGTAGAACTCTGACAGAAACCCCATCTTTCTGACCAGAGAACTATAAGGTAAAGGAGTCCCTGAAGGCTGGAAAGTGTAAGGATTAAGAGAGGAGGAACCTAGAAAAAGTGATTTCATAGTACTGTGTCTAAACCCACATAAATCCCAGGCTCATCCCTGGGCTATGTGGGACAGATTCAAAGCAGGACAGCAAAGGCTTTAAGAGCTCAACTAAGACTGAACCACTGCCAAGCCTCAGAATACCCCAAGTGGCATATGCACAGACCAAAAACAGAAAAGAAATTAAACAGCTTTGGAAAGCAAACTGACATTGGAGTCACCACCTACAGAGGGCAAAACAGAACTTGCCGTCTGAACCTAATCAGGGTGACTGCCTGTTTAAAAGCAAGACAAAACAAAAATCATTCTTTGAAGGATTACATAACAGGATCCAGAGGGTATCTAACACAACATCCACAATGTCCAGAATACAATTCAAAATTACTTGACATATCCCAAACCAAAACCCAAACAGGAAAAGGGAAAAAGACAATTAACAGATGTCAACACTAAGATTAATCAGTTTGGGAATCCTCAATGACTTTAAAGAACCTGTGTAGCTATATTCCACAAGGTAAAGGTAAAATGCACAGGAACAGTAACAGCAACAACCTCAGCAGAGACACAGAAACTATACATATAAAATGAATGGAAATTTTTAACTAAGAAAATACGAAATCTGAAATAAAAAAATCATTGGATAGGCTCAACAGCAGAATGGAGATGACACGGGAAAGAGTCCGTAAACCTGAAGTTAGATCAACAGAGATGATGCAAAGATTTGTGAATGAACATGAACAGAGCTTTGGTGACCTACTGGAAATTTTCATAAGGCTTAACATTTACATGATTGAGGTTATCAGAAAGGGAGGAGAAAGATTATTAGTTCAGAAAAACTATGTAAGAAAATAATGGCATGAAACTTACCAAATTTAGTGAAAGACATACATATACAGATTCTAAATGTTTAATAAACCCCAGACAGGGTTTAAACTAAAAACAACAACAACAAAAAAGATTATTTCCTGCAGACTTTTCCTTAGTGGCTCATTCAAGCTTCTAATAAATGTCCCAATTCCTAAGCTATTAATTCATTGTTGCCTTCAGTGAATATATACTTTCATTTCATTGAAAACACCATTGATTCCAAGAGGCATCATTACTTTATATAACTTTTTAAAGTGCTGCCATTTTATGATGCAATTATAAAAGTCCATTCTGATTTCATAGATGTGAAATTTTTTTAAACGTACATCTTAGAATGAATAGAAAATATACTGTGCTAGACACCCACTGAGTACCAGACAGAGTATGGTTAAGTGGAATGGACAGGAGCAGCCAGTCCTAACGCCAACGTGTATCACTCCCCAGTACCATTACTCATTGCTCTTTCTTCTTAGTCTTAGCAAGAAAAGACAAAATATGCATTCAGAAAAACTCATTATCTATACTGATAAAACTCTTATGCAAAATCCCACTTTTCTCTCTACCTCCATGTTTACAATCCTTCCCTCCCAGCGAGGGAAAAGCATGCTCTAACCGTAACTCAGTTTCCACCCCAATCTTTCTCTTGCTCTTCATCAGACTCTGTTTATTCTCTAGTTTTTCTTTATTTTTTGAGATGGAGTCTCACTCTGTCACCCAGGTTGGAGTGCAGTGGTGTGATCTCGGCTACTGAAACCTCTCTTTGCCTCCTGGGTTCAAGTGATTCTCCTGCCACAGCCTCCTGAGTAGCTGGGGTTAGAAGCACGTGCCACCACACCTGGCTAATTTTTGTATTTTAGTAGACATGGGGTTTCCCCATCTGGCCAGGCTGACCTTGAACTCCTGACCTCAAGTGTCTGGTTTTTCTTGAGAGAGTGATAGGCTAGATATTTTTTCATTTTTAATTGAAGCCCATTGTCCCCCCACACCCCCAAAATAAAACTCTGCAAAATTCCACCCATGTTTGCAAACTACTTAAAACTGATTCCTTACTTTAATGGAAACATATCTTTGTCTTAATCTGGGGCAGTTTTATGTACCTTTAGAGTCCATCTCATTCCCAAGTTATTTATAAAGCACTAAGAAAATGCAGTGGAAATTAAATTTTTAAAATAAAACAGGCAGGCTCTAGGGTTTGTAAAAAATTGCATCAGTCAGTAAGTGACAGCCAAGGACATAGTTCTCTTCATAGTATTTGACCCCTTACTCCCACTTTTGACATAAAACATAAGCTATGTAAGCCTGGGCCAGCATCTCTAAAGAGATCTTACTCACAGCTATTAAGCCTCTGGGGGAAAAAAGTGAGACTTCTCTCCACACACAGTCTAGCTTCCTCATTCCTTTTTTCTAGATGTGCAATTTTATTAAAACAACAAAAACAGATTTTCCCCTGTATTCTAAGCTGCTGACCCCGCAACCCTGACTCAGGGAGTATTCTTACATATGATGGCTGGCCCCTAATGTACCAGCAGTGGGCACACAGCTGGCACTGCTCTATGACTCACAGTGGTTAAATGCCAATTTGGATGCCCCACCTTCAACTCGAAGTCACTAGTTTGTTCTTTTCATCCACAGAGATAGAGCATTTTTTAAAAAATGTAACATTGGCTTACTAATAAAATGGATTTAACATGATCAAATTAGGACTGCAAACTGACCAGAGAACCTGTGACACCAGGCATGAAACCCCTCTCTGGCAACGCATACATAATGAGGCAGCCTGCTCCAGAGGAAAAGTCAGCTTTACTGAGTGCAAGAGTCACCCCTCAGTATCCACGGAGGACTGGATCCAAGACCCCCTGCTGATTCCAAAATCCACAGATGCTCAGGTCCCACTTCACACAGAAAATGGCGTGGTATTTGCATATAGCCTACACATAACCTCCCATAGAAACCATCTCTAGATTACTTATAATACCTAATACAATGCCTACACATCATTTCATTATGGATTCAATATAGTACTTGGCTTGCTGCAAATTCAAGTGTTGCTTTTTGGAACTTGTAGAATTTTTTTCTTAATATTTTTGTAATTATGCAGAAAGCAGCGCTTTCCTCTCTGCAGCACCCTTCTAGTTTCCGGCGAGCCTAGCTGTGGCTGAAGCTCTAAATGCGCACACTGCAAGCAGACTCTGAGCATCACCCACATCCCCAAAAGCCCTCCACATCGCCTTGCCTCGAAAACAAACAGCTGCCAGGTCAATGGATGGAGATGCTAGGAGAGGAGCGTGGAGCCTCTGCATAGTTCAGCCTGAAGACTAAAATGCAGGATTAAGACTACAAACTGACTTGATTCTTTTGCTGTGCCACATGTGGGCCACTTACCAAGCCTGATTTCTAAGGAGAACTAGCCTGGCGCGTGCCCAGACGCACACTGAGGAGTTCAGCCCTCAAGCACTGCAGTATCAGCCATTTTAGGAGGCCATGAGGAAAAATGATTATTTTTCTTCCTGATAAAGCATACTCACATCATCTTCTTGCTCTAAGTTGGGGGCAGGCAGCTAGGGGTGAAGGTCAGGAGTTGGAAATATTATTGGACGAAGTAATTATTTTTGCAAGCTGCTGCAGTGGCAGGACAGAGATCTGGGCTCTGGCACAGAGGGGCACCCGCCTCACGATCTGACACCCGCCTCCGAGCAGCCCGCCACCTGCAGCCCGGGGCCGGGCCCAGGGGAGGGGGCACCAGCAGCCCCTGGCCCTCAGCCATGCTACCTCTCTTCGGGGCACCGGATCAGACACAGCAGATAACTGGCCAAAAAAAAAAAAAAAAAAAAAAGACCGGGGGGGGGGGGGGGGGGGGGGAAGAAAAGGAAAAGAAAAAAACAATAAGAGAGGAGGCAAGGAGGGGGAAGAAACCTAAAATTTGGACTCAGAGGGTCTTTTCAAACACTTTAATCCTTTCATGCTGATGGTTCCTGGGGCGCTGGGGGCTGGCACGGGCCCCTGTACCGGGAAAATCCGACTCCCTAAGCCAATGTGTTAAAGAGAAGGCTGCTAATCAGCTAAATAGAAACTGGAATCTGTTCACATGAAGTCTCTTTTTCCCTCCATCACCAGAGGGACACCACAGTGTTCTGAAATACACTCTTGACATCATTTGGCAGGCAACCCTATTTTGTTGAACATGATTCATCCCTTAGGTTATTGTTTTTAATATGAGAAAGTGAGCTTTTAAGTGCCAAACAAATTTTGCAGCAGGGGGACAAAAGATATTCCAAGTGGTCTCCCTGGACCTCCTACCAACTGCGTCCACCAAATGGCTTAAAAGAAAACCTTCCCGTGGTGCTTCAGAAATGAAGCAGAGACATAGCTATATCCAACCATTACCTAATACAGGACTTTGTTCTCTGCATCTAGAGTGTTTACGGGATCGGGGCTGAACTCAGGTGGGCAGCGCTGTTGAGTGAGAACCAGGCAGTGTGAGCAGTGCAGTGGGGGCCTTAGCAGAAGCTGCGGGGCTGCAAGGCAATGCCCTTTCAACTCACGTACCTCCCATCCCTGTTGCCACTGACCATGAGGTTGGGAGGGCTGTCCTTGAGGTTGACACAGGTGAAGTCACGGAGAACGTTACCCAGCTTCAAGAGGTGGCGTCCTGCTTCCAGGCCATACAGCAGAATCTGAGGGAGGAAGAGAAATGTGTGGGCCCACAATTCTGTACACCCGACAGACATCAAACACTTTCATTTCACCGTCGGGGAGGACATGATCCTTACCACTCAGCTCCCGGGAAGATGTTCTGCCACGTACTTTCCTGATCTTTTTCAGGTTACTGATAGTATAGGGACACAGCTATTAGCGTGCTAGAAAGAAATGCAAAGGAAGATAGAAGGAAATCCCACAAATTCCTCAGACCAAGGTGATAACTCACAGGCCACAAGGAAAATGCCAAGTGGGGAAATCAGGTATACTAATTCCTTAATAAAGAGAAAGACATCCGGAAACTAAGGGCCACTGACTGCTTCTGATTTGGAATGAATGGGAAAGCTTGCAAGGCATCAGGGAACTTGCAGATGAACCAGCATGAGTTCTCATCTGAATTTATACCACAGGAGGGAAAAGAAAGAATAGTACAAAGACCAGGAGGATGAAGTTTGCATAGTTAGCCACTGGATGCGTCCTACAGACTGAACTACAAACCAAAACACAAGCTTACTCCCAAACACTTTTCTGTTCACTCTCTGCTTGCTAATTTTAGGACGCTTTGTTCCATAGGGTTGGAAGTAAATAAGAAGAGGTACCCCTGATTTCCAGGCAATGCATTGTTATATTAGAGAAGGCACCTCTGTGCCTTCTCTCCAGTGGAAAAAAAAATGACGTTTTTTTACTAAAAAAGTATTAATTCAATTCAACTTAATTCAAAGACCACTAAATGCTTGCTATGGGTCTGTCACTGTTGCAGGTGCTGAGGACACAGTCTTTGCCCCAAATTCACATTCAGAAGTATCCTCCTCATTAACACAAACACACACCAAGTTCTGAGCACTTTCAATCCTGTTGATCATGTGGTTGATAGTTTTAAATTAATGATCTCAAAAGTTTTTGAGGGATTTTTTTAGGGGGTGGGGGGACAGGGTCTTGCTCTGTCATCCAGGCTGGAGTGCGGTGGCACCATCATAGCTCACTGTAGCCTCAAATTCCTGAGCTCAGGTGATTTTCCCACCTCAGCCTCCCGCGTAGCTGGGATTACAGGTATGTGCCACCACGGCCCACTGATTTTTTCTTTTTTTTTTTTTTTAATTAGAGAAGGGGTCTCACTATGTTGCCCGTGCTGGTCTCAAACTTTGAGCTCAAGTAATCCTTCTACCTTGGCTTCCCAAAGTGCTGGGATTTACAGGCGTGAGCCACTGCACCCAGCCAAAGGTTTTAATAGTAATATTTTGTGGAAAGATCCCTCAGCACATACATGGAAATGATGTGCGTTTCTTCTTGTCAACCTATACATTTATCACTTGTGAGTATACAGATTTTTGCTTTAGTATTAAGAGGTTAATAACAAATATTCTCTACCTTGAAAATCATCAATCTTGTCAACACACATTTCTAACAAGTGAATCTTTGGAAATTTCTAATGGTCAAAGCAGCACTGTAATATTAACTGTTGCAAACAGTGTCTGGAAGGTAAAAGGACACTTTCCAAATTTAAAATGCCCTCTTAATCCACCAAGCCTCCAGAGAACAATTGCAGTTGAAAAGAAAAATTTCTGACTCAGAAAATTTCAACAATTCGAAAATATAGAAAGTAAAATTATTATTCCAAGTAAGTATATAGAAATCACCAAATCTCCTATCCTCAGTGAATAACCTAAAAATTATATAAAATCAGCACCTGGAGGGAGAAAATAAACAGAGCAACCTCACAGTCTATTACAAAAGTAGTATTCTGCACCTACTTATCATTATAGAGTGTTCAAAAATGTGGTCTCAATAGTCTCTTGTTTTTAAAATACTTCCAACTTCTGCAGCAGGAAGGTAAGGCCTTTAAATCAGTGAAATGCTAATGGTAAATCTAAGAGCTGAAATCTGATACTGAGGAGGTTCATGTGTCTTTATGTCTTTCAGTTGTTTTTTTTTTGACAAGTGGATAAATTATTTGAGTGATACAGTGAGATGTAATCCCTTTCCAAAAAGACTCTCTGCAAATTCATCATAAAGACATCTAAGTTAGCAGTCCAGAGTCAAGTATTTTCTAAAATGTTTAATAATTCAACGAATCAGAACTATCTGAAGAGTACCTTTACCATGACGTTTAGTTAAAGACCACAGAGATTAGAAAACACATTACCCATCTCAAAGGCAGTTCTTTCTATGTTACAAGTCCCTTAACGACCTTTACCATTTCTCCCTCCCTCCCATGCTCTCTCTCTTTTAATAAGGTTGAGCAAATGGGACTTCATTTTATCTGATTGCCATAGACTAGTGAGATTAATTATTCATGCTCACACTCTCCCTCTTGTTAAGACCATGCATTAGACTAATTTTTCTCTTTATTGCCCTAGTTGAGTGAGTCTCAACCCATGACCACTTGACTTATTCTCAGAGGTGTACAGATATGCTGGAAAACCTACCCCTAACTCCAGTCCTGGAGAAAATACTCTGCACTAATGCGGCTGCCAGGTGGAAAGATGATGTTGAGGATGTGTCCTTTTAAGAACCGGGTACAGATTATAGAAGAACTTGAACAGTGATTACACAGCAAATTTCTACAGGGATTAGATGTATCTGTAAGAATTAGCTAAAACAGCTAAACCATGTAGAGACTGGTAGTGTGTTTCACAAAAGTAACTATAAGAAATGCATGACACAGGGAAGAATTTTTTCTTCTTTTTGGCTTCCAGGTAGACCTAGAAGGGAATGGGGGGAAAGCAAGCACTCCCTTTAAAAAAATTTAGCAGAAAGTTCTCTATTCATCTATTTTTTTTCTTAGATATCTTAAAGTATTTCCATAAATCCCAGTCTTAGAATCTTTACTTGCAATTTTGTCAATGATTCTGATTTATCTGAAATCTATTTCTACAAATCTTTTTCTGATTTCAAGTATAATACATCTTACAACAAATTCTAACATGATAGACTTATATAAAGAAAGTGGTAGCCCTCTGTATATTTATCTCTCAGAAATCACTTTTAACAGTGTGATGTATACACTTCTAGACTTTTCTTCTACACATTTTTGTGTGTATACATTTTTTTCCTAAATGGGATTATTTTACACCTCTTTTTCCCTAAATGTCAGTGTCTATAGATAGATCTTGTTCTTTTTAATGGTTGTATAGAATTTCTCTGTGGAAACACAATTCCATATGGGTGGATAGCTGGATTGTTTCTAATTTTTAGATAAATAATGCTGTGATTCATTTAAGAGCCAGTCAACAGATATTTATCAATCATCTTCTAGGCACTAGGCACTGGAACGACGTGCAGGGACACTGGGTGATGTGCGGAAGTCCCAGCCTGCTGCCAGCTGATAGAGCTTGCCTCTTCCCCAGCTGGGGCCTGACCGCCAGCTGTCCTGCTCCTCCATAGATGGGGCCTGCCTCTCTAAGGAGACCCACTGACCATCTTCCGGCCCTGTACCTGGCAGCTGGTGTCTTAAGCAGCAGGGGCAGCAGTCTAGAGTCAGGAGGGAGACAGCAGCCACTGCCGTGGGCAGGTGGGCCCCGCAGTGTCCAGGTGTGGCCTAGACTGGCTTTCTAGCCAAACTATGAAGGAAAGAGCGGAAAGATGGCTCTTGTCTTGTCCCTGTTGTAGGGGGATAGGGGGAGGTGGGGAGGAAGCAGGCTGAGCTCAAGGCAGACCAACTTCCTCCTTCACTCAGTAAGAAACACATTTATTAACACCGCAAGCTTTTCCTAAATTGGGGGCTACCACCTTCAAAATTAATCATGAACCACTTGGAGACTGAAATCACTGTCAAGCGACTATAGAGCCTTGCCTTTCCAGAATTTTGGTCCTATATTGATGAATGAAGAAAGGAACTCTGTGTTTTCTTTAATTTTACTGAAATACTGAGTCTTCATAATCAAATATCTGCTATAGGCATTAAACTGACAACCACCACCCCAGAAGCTGGTCAGCTCCCCAGAAGCCCAGCAGCTCAGGAGGGGTCGAAAGGCTTCCTTACAAGATAATAGCATTTTAAACGCTTTTTAAAATTAAAGAGGATTTGTTGGCCGCCATTTAAAAAGGGCAAGTGGCAAAGAGAGCCAAAGGTTAGGAGGTGCTGTGCTGCACTGACTGGAGTCTAAGAGAAGAGGCACGAGAGGAAGACGTGACCACACTTCCTGGAGATGACACCATCTACCCACTTTCTCTTCTGATCCCTAGTAACCTATCTCCATCACTGCCTCACACATGTGGCTCTTCTGAGCGGGAAGTCGTGATCGGAAGCCAGACGCTGGGCGGCATGGCAGTTAAACCTGCTGCTCTCTCCTTCTCCGTCCGCTCCAGCGGCCTTTCTGCTCTCTTCTCTGTGACATCCTCGGCACGCAGTGCCCGTTCCCCTGGTCAGCGCTGAGAGTTCTCGCTGTCTACACATGTCATGTGCTGTTTTAACAGGGCCATCCTGGTCTGTGTCCTATCTTCTTCCGGCTTTTCCCCAGATCTGTGGTTCTCAGATACCGGAGGGGAGGAGGCCATGACTCTAGCAGGTCAGGGGAGGCTCTGCAGCACTGTTACCAAGCACCACACCACATCACACCACATGCTTAAACACTCTCCTAGGCCTCAACTCTAAAGTTTCTGGGTCAGAGATCCTATCATTCATTCATTCATGTAGCAGTTATTAAAGGCCAGCATGTGCCAGGTACAGTGACAGTTACGCATTGCCGCATCTCACTAAGTGCCTGCATTTGTATTTGGAGGCTCACTGACTGGTACACAATGCCAGGCAAATCCAGAGCTTCCCACAGTCTCAGACCCCACAGATATTCAGATGTTGCTTTTAGTGCTTAACACCTTCCTCCACTCCTGGATCTTGCTGCTGGTGTGTACAAAGGAACTGCTCCATCCTACCCAAAACAGACGATGGTTCCACAGAGATCTCTTCATACCATCCAGATGCCAGAGTGCCCCAACTGCATCCAGTCCGACAGTCCCACTTCTGACAACATGGCCGACA